GTTTAAAATGAGCTTAACACCGTTCCAATTGGTTGTAGAACCATGATATTGCTCATGTTCTTAGCCTTTGCTGTTGCTTCCCACTTTCCTTCTGCCAAGGTCATATCTCGCACCACTGCCTTCGCGCAGAGAGTCCTGAAACAGACGGTGTATCCCCAGCAAGATTGTTTTATCCCAGCGGTAATAAGGCTGAGATCTTTAAGTCAGGAAACATGCAATTTAAATGTGGATGAACAATACTCAACTTATATCGTTTTACATGAGATTGATTCGTCTTCGCTTCCGATAATGGACACAATCATTCAACGAGGTCTCCATTGCCTTGATACTATCTTCTTGAAAGCATTATAAGAGTTTCACATCAAGATAATCGGATATAATATCCGCGTCCAGTCCCCCATGATTCTTGAATTTTGCTTTCATATAAGAGCAAAGTCTACATATACACACAATGTAATGCATTATCTCTATATCGAGGTTTAAAAATTGACCGATAGGTCACGTGTTATTGAGTCTGCAAACAGGTTTCTGCAATGAATCTTCAACTTGATTATTTGAGAACGCAAAGACTTGGAATCTGATATGCTCCTTGCCATTCCTTGTGTCCAAAACGAACGGATTGCGTCCAAAAGGCAAGCGAGTAAACCCGAATTTATAATTCATCATCGGATGAAACGGCCCCTAAAAGCAGTGTCACCTTGACGATCAGTTCTTGAGCGGGGTTCAGCAAGCTTTCCAGCTATCCTATAACATGTCCTAGTCTACTGGTCAGTTCTACTGTTGATTGATTATGCTAGGGTACCTCTGAGCATCTTCTAGTCCGTAGTCTCAGTAGTATCTGTATTTTCTCTCTGGGTGAACTATGATTGTGGACGATGTTTTTTCGAAGTCCTTGCGATCATGAGACGGACCTGGCTGGGTACCTTAAAGAGACAAGGGTGCTTTCCAATGAACTGAACCCCCGCCACTATGTCAATGGTTTTAATGTAATTGCTTGCTTGTCTTCTTCGTTTGATCCCAAACCTTAATACTACTTCACCAATACTATGCTGGCGAGTCGATCTTTTGACCTAAGAAACATAAGTCTACATAGATATTTCTGCCGGATCTACTACTCAAGCTCAGGACAATGTAGTTTACAGTCCACCGGTTCAAGCAAGGACTGGCTATCCAAAGCTCCTTCGCAAACTAATCCTTTACATTATCGTTCCTGAGTCACAGCATAGTATTTGATGGAATTAATTATAGTGCTTCTTTGCCATGAATTCATTCAAGCTTCAGTCTCTCCTGGATCCAGTCGTGCACTACGGCTGCGATCTCGAGATTATTCAGTTCCAAATGTGCAAAATGGCCATTTCCAGTAATGCCAAGATCACCGAGTTTGATCCAGTCAGGGCTGCCCCCAACTTGTTGAAGATACGCAATAACGCAATGATCGTAGGTAATATGAGGGCTGGCCTCTCCAGTCAATGCTACAAAAGGAACGCTTGCAATGTTAGGCAATGTCCTGATGGTAGACCCTGATTGCAGAATGCAGCTGCGATTTCCCGCTGTATCCGTTCCAATTTTTGTTAAATTAAGCTCCGTATAATTGCTGATCGGCGGGTCGTAACTAAAAGATACAGATCAGTTGCTGTTTCGAAAATACTTTAATTTAAGAAGAGGGTGAGACAAGGATAACGATACCTTAGTGATACGTCAGCAAAGCCCCATGGTCTTTCTGATGACATTGTCATCCCAGTTCCAGTGAAGTCTTCAAACGGAACAATGTCTGGGTCGAGGTTTATGCTTCCTGCAACATAATCTGGACAGTCGTTCGAGAGCAGGATTGGATTGACCGAGCCAATAGAGTGAGATACAAGGAAAGACGACCCGATCAGACGTAGCATTTCACAGCCAGACTTCCGCATTGATAATTGCTGAGCTGTTTTGTTGCTTGTCAAAGGGATAAAGGCATTTTCAAAAGCGTCAAAGATTGGATCGCCTTTCTGACCTGAACCAGGCCATTGTGTGTGGTTCTGTGATTGGGGGTACTCGTCCGATAGCTCCGGTACCGTAAAACCTGCCTCGCTAATCTCCGCCGTAGAACCTATGCGGAGCGTGAAATCATCTAAGTTCTCCTCACTACCTCGACCGACAGACGTTTGGTCAAGGATATAGACCAGATATCCGTGCTCGATAAAGAATGAAGCAAAGCCTTTGCGATTATCAGGTGTATTCAACCAAGTCTAACAGTTGCATATTAACTTGAATCCACAAAAAGGCCACATAGTGGACTTACAACTCCAGAGGTACCTAAGCACTCCAATCAGCGTGGCAAATAACATTTCGATCTTGTGATCGTCAACATACCTCCGCCATGGAAGAAAATGACTGGCTTGCTCTGTTTCACTCCGCCAACTGGAGTAAGCTTCTCGACATAGATTTGATCATATGTCAGGTTGCCTAGGTCACTGTCTTCGTAGTGTCCTCCCACGTAGAAGAAGTCCCGGTGATATGGCGTTTCGTGGCTGTTGCAATCCGGGGAAATGGCCTTGACACCGATGCAGTTGGCTTCGGTTGTATTGTCCCGCAGAGTGACGTTATTTCCCAGACTGGTAGCTACGCCATGGGATTCCCCCAAGAAGCCCAACGCCAACCACCACAGTATTGGTAGGGAAGTTGTTGCATGCATGTCCAAGAGATTGCAAGGGGAATTTTACAAATCGGAATTATCGAGTGGTTTCTACCGTGCAAATAGTGATTCAGCAGACAGACTTTATAGTATAACCGTTGCATTTTTATTTTGAATCGACTCGCTTTTCTTTTGCGTTTACGAACCTCGGTATCCCTGATATATGCAGGATAAGATGAGCAGCTAAACCAGGTCCATGATCAGGCTAGCGTTAAATATAAGCAGAAACCCCGCACATGTTTGAGCTCACAGTACATGTTTTCATGTATCTTTTTATCAGGTATCGCAGCATTATAATACTACTTAGGCTAGTCGTTACCTCGATAAAGTGAACGTATCAAAGGCGAATCGTATATGCTGGCTATCAAACTATATCACCCCCCTGCCCAAGGAATTGCCTGAAGAATATCGCACCCCAGGCAGATAAATGCATGGACAGGTGAGATGTACGAGGTTGGCTCACGCAGATCTACTTAATAAGTTATAATTTCTGACGGTCGCGCATATTTGCTGTCTGGGGGATTTTCATCAACGAAATCCGCTGTAACTCGCTCGTATCACTTGGATCACATTTGCCTGTTAATTATTTCTTATTCTAGTAGATGTGTATGGGAGGCATATTCAACCGTAATCTCCTGCTCAAGGATCTAGACTCGTCCGCGATGGTCAGATAACAATTATAACACAACATATAATCGTTACCGAGTACCCGTTCTTGGAAGGGTGTAGTTAGGACTGGAAGCTAACGGCATATTAGTCGAAAGGGCTAAAATATATGCCGGTACCATGCAGGCTGCGAAAAGACAAATACAAAATTCATTCAACAAGATTAAAGCCCATCCCGGCCTAAAGGCCAATTCTATTCAAGTATCATAGCGTATAGAAGAAGCATTTTCGCAGCTAAGACTAATCCTCCGATATATTATGCTGGCATACAAGCATTGATTAGATATTTCGCACAGGGACCACATATATAATTACAAAGCTTTGCAGCTTGAGCTCGATTTTCGAGGCAAGATACTGTGGAATCATGGATTCTTGTGACAACGTTCTCACAATGTATGATTTTAACATCTTCAACCACATCTGCACATGACTCAACTTGTGTATGTTAATATCTGTGTAACCACAAATACGGTAGCTAACTTGATCTACGAATGACAGAACTTCTTACTTTACCAGTTGCAACAACATCTTCGGGTCAATTATTAATCGCGGAATGTGTGGGGAAAATTCGATACAGTGACTGGGGAATCTTGTCCGACACCCAATGGCAATGGTGTCTTGGACCTACAAAAGTTGGAGACCTAAACAAAAACTGGGAGACCATCGATAAGCGAAGATCTAGTGGCACGTCGAGCGGATCAATAGCGGGAGCGAAGTTAGATCAGCGTCTTCGCACGGTGTTTGTAGAGTGTGTCAGACTCATCGAAGAGACGGAGTCCTGTACCCATGGTTTGGTGATCAATCAATTCGCAGCGGTTTTTACTCATGTACCATGTCTGCCTGCAGGCTTGAGCGATGCCGAAGTCAACCGGGTTGTCATTCGAGCGGGGCTGTTTGTCGTCTAGCCCAGGGATGCTGCGTTGAGAGATTACAGGAATACCGTGGCATATAAAGCCCAAGTGGTATTGTTTTGTGATTATTTGAAACGAGAACTTTGTGACTAGAGCTGCGCAATTTTTCAGCACACTTTGCTTGACTCGCAGAGCGGAGTGTGGCTGCACCTTTAATACCGTTGGAGCACATCCTTCTTCGCTCGTGCTCTAGTATACACAGCCGGGGGTGGCGGCGCTCTTGTTTTTGTATGGCATCGATGCCTTGGCGCTGTTTCGAGAACTCAGTGCCCAGCTGCAAGACATGAGTCTCTCCGAAGAAAGGGATCATTATGCACTCTTCAACGGCGGGAGGGCAGTGTGGACCGGCCGAGATATTGGAACGAGTATGCTAGATTTGCACTCGGTCACGGTCTTGCCCGCAGAGACACATGCAATCTGTCGTCGGAGAATGACCGTGAGAGACCTCGCACTCTATCTGAGGGTGCTTGACACGCCTGGAGCTGAATGTGCGCCCGGCCTGTGCTGGTCACAGGCTCGTCAGTCGCCTGCACATCTCGATTTCCTTGCTGCCACAATAGGCTGATCCTGCTGCTGATCGGTATCTAGGTACTTTGTACTTGCTTATGTAAGTGCCAAGCCGTGGCCCAGACGGAATTCTCACCAACGCCAGAATTCCGCCATCCTCGCACTCCTGACCACCACCACCACCACCGCCGCCACGCCCTCATCAAACACCAAAAAACGAAGCCAGCAACGCTCACGATGCATGGACACATAGGGAATCGAACCCTAGACCTCTCCCAGGTGCGCTGGCCCGTTTAAACCAATGCTAAGGGAGTGTTATACCACTAAACCATGCGCCCGTCCTTTAATGATACGGCCCTGGATCTTGTCTATCATATTGAGTCGTTTTGGATGCTCCACAGACCCACAGACAGCAAAACTTTCTCCTAGCGCTATTATTAGGCGGACATTGCCATACATGATCTACTCCGACTACGGCTTCTCGAAATGAGTGGTGTTTCGAAAAAGTGGTGCATCACAGTAGATCGCCCCAACAGGCTTGAGTCCACAAGATTCAACTGCTTCAAACTCAAATTCTTTCAGCTCTGACTTGAAGAGAAGAGTAGTTTGCAAGTCAGGAACACCATAACAGCCCAGAAGAGCAATGAAAATCAGGTCCGGAAGGGCACATTCAATCCTACGGCTGCCTCAGACCCACGACCTCCTGCATCGATCGATGATAACGCCACGTCTTTTTGTTCATTCCATCACTGCACTACACATGTGGCTATGGGCACAATCTCGATCCTTCATTGTCATGGCCATGTTGCTGTGTTTGCAGATTATAATGGACGCCTGTATTCTGATGACACAGTGCTATAGTACAGTCCACATAGCTTAAAACTCCACGACAAGACTAAATCCCCCAGCCACATACAGTCGCTGACATGCCAAGACCACTGCTCTCGAAATTCTCCACTGGTAGCCGAAACGAGTGGTCTGCGACCTGCGACCAAGCAGGCTCGGCAAGAGACGCTGTGCGGGTCGTTTGAGGGAGCTGCAAAAGGAGCGACAAAGAACAAAGTGGTACACAAACTTCAAAGCAAGCAGTGTGCACTGGCCGCAAAGGACAAGAAGTCTGACATAAGTCAACCAGCCAAAAGAACAGCATGATGCCAAGCCCAGCATCCCTTTGCCGCCAATGAGAAACCGGTGGTGCAAGACATAGTAGCCGACGCAACGTCGAATGCTCGACAGTCATTGAGACCCTCCCCGGTTGCTAGCCAGCAACGCTGCAGTATTTGTGAGGGGCAACGAGTCTAACTTGATTGATGTTTCAGCTTCCAGAGGCCAAGATGCTGCACGACAGCTCCAGCCTGGAAGTCAAACCAAGACCACATCATCGGCCGCATTGGGGCATCCCTCTGCCAAGTGCGTTTACCTTTTATAGGTCTCTCGGTGGTGAACAGTGACAAAGATGTGGGAGCAAAACAGAAGATGCGAGAATTGCGACGCTCCCGCAAGATCTCTGGCCTCGACATATTCTGCCGAACCGTTCTGGACCAAGACAAAGCATTTTACGCCATCACTCTCTGTACGGGTTACAGGCAAGGGTATTGGAGATCGTCTGTTGGCCAAATGTAGTCGAGGATAAGACCGTCAGAGTCTTGTGACCATGGAACAAAATAGACCAATATGTTCACAAAGAATTCCAATTAGGGTAACCGAGGCCATACTGATTCGATTAACAAAGATTCAATGACAGTGGTAAATTTTAATGATCCTTGCCTGAGTTCCTGAATTAGAACATGTCCTAAACTTTTGCATTCGCAGAATACGGAAATATACATTCAAGTCCTTTGCACATCGTTAAGCCGTCATGAGTATCACGGGTATTTAAAAGGACTTGCCTATTACAGAAATTAACACCTAGATCCATCACCAACAAATGCGAGGAAAATGATAGAACTCAGTAAAGACTTTCCTAGCATGAATTCATTTGATCACCCAGTACCCTCAGGATAGTTCCAATACATCAATTGGTAATCTAACTCATGTAACTCTACTAGCTTTTCTAATAATCCAGATAATCGAATTCCAATCATTTCTTAACCTTGTATCACGTGTTATTCCGTATATAGCTCATATAAGAGGTCGTAGTGGTTCCATCAAGGTTCCGAGCTTATGCTTTGTTGTGTTGGCCTGTTTTTGTGACCTGCGTGCTTGTCAGGTCACGATATGGATGTGGTGGTACCATCTAGCATTTTGTTGAGCGGGTAATTGCAGAATACTGTACTGAGAATATAACTTTGTAATTTGTACGGATGAAGAACAGTGGTTTTCACGGCGATCCAGCATTTAAAATAGCTTTGTAACAGCCTAGGATATATTTCGGTGCACTGAAATAGACCAATTGAAAGCTAAAATGACAGATATAAAGGATTGAGTATTCACGCAACTCTTCAAATAATGTGGAAATCACATGTCAGGGCCGCCCAATTAGGCAATCGATCTGTGCCGCGGGTCAGAACAAAGCCTAAAAGTCACAAATTGCTTGCATGGAGCCCAGTCAAAGGCCCGAATTTGAAGTATAGCAGGAATGTCAGCGAATAAGCTCATCATCATCATACGCGACGCACTACAATGCGCAGCGGATAATATGAGTCCTCAGTCGGTGAAAGCCATGGGCTCTTCTACTTTGCTTCTAGCAAGATAATCTTGCACTAGATGTACCGCTAGGGTGACCTTCCTCGCGAAAATTGCCAATTAAATGACATCTGAATAAACTCGTTGAAAGTACAGACACCTTTGATCGGCTAATTCTGTTAGCGGTGTTGCCCCTGAACATAGCGCTGGAAACCGAAGAAATATATGAAAGACAGAATCCCTGCATGATGCTCGACAAGCATCAAGAAACAAAGACTTGACGAGCCAGCGTGCAAGCTTGTTTCCATACCAGATGACAGCGGATGCACCCGATATACTGGATTTGATTGTCCGAAATTGATAATGCTCCTATTTAGGTCGAATAATATTTGTTGTCCATGGTATCTTCGAAAGAGCTCAGGCCCATTTAGTTTGTGGCACTACTACGAACTGATTAATTCAATTATCGTGGATTTGTTCTATTTTTGTGAAGCGGAAAGTCATGAATGAATTGGAGTGTTTAAAAAACAACCAAAAAAAATGAAGTACCAGGATTAATTGTCACAGGTCGAAAATAGCTTCTTCTAGTTGCTATACACGACTGTTGGGACTTCTCGTTGTTCATGGACAACATACACTGATAAAGGTCTTCCCGTCTTGGCAAGTCCCGGAATGAAATATTTGCAAGCTGTCAATATTCTTATAGTAACACCAACCGGTGATATACCTGCCTTCTGACTGTCCGGACACGAGATGTAACCGTTGGCTGCTTACTAGGTATGGGTCTAGCTTGATAGCGTGGTAGCAAAAATTGCCAAGTATCGTATCGAGGATGCACGATATCTGTAGCCCCGGCTAACAAGCCTAAATGAGATGCTTATTTCCGATGTCCGCAACTCACCACCGCTTTGGCCCCTTCTTCCTGCCTACAAAGTATACATAGTAACAACACAAACTCATGCGAAAATCGGGTCCAGAAACGAACAGTGCAAAAATGTGTTATTTATATCCGAGCACTTGTTCGTAGACGCCTTTCTCGTCGTTTTTGGTTCCTCTCAGCACGCACATTCCTTCCATTCGACACTTGACAGAGGCAGCCATGAAGCTATCATCCGTTCTTTTCACGGCGGTGCAGTCGGCAGTGGTAGCCGAGGCCTCCTCATCCGGATGTCGATGCTTGCCCGAAGACAGTTGTTGGCCGTCCACTTCCACTTGGACCGCTCTCAATGAGTCGATAAGTGGGGCCCTTATTGCTACAATTCCGATTGGCTCGCCATGCCATGATCCCAACTTTAACGAGACGGCATGCGAAGAATTGCAGACAGCGTGGACGCTTCCACAGACACAGTAAGATTGACGAGTGATTTCTCGGATCCATTGGCCGTCCTGGTCACGAATCGATGGCTGACGGCTCTTACTTGCAGCTTGTCGTCAACCTCATCAGTAATGCAGGCCTACTTTGCCAACCAGAGCTGTGACCCGTTCACGCCTGAGTCGCAACCCTGTGTCTTGGGCAATTATGTTTCGTATGCCGTCAATGTTTCTTCGGCGGACCAAGTGATGGAGGCTTTAGCATTTGCACAGACCAACAATATCCGCGTTGTTGTTCGAAATACCGGACACGAGTAAGCAGCCACCTTGCCCTCTTTGACACGAATTTGGCAGTTGACACAATTTCTGCAGTTTCCTCGGCCGATCAACAGGTGCTGGTGCTCTGTCTTTGTGGACGCACAATTTGAAAACCATAAGCTTTACGAACTGGACTGATGCTTACTATAATGGTCCTGCTGTCAAGGTGGGCGCAGGTGTCCTTGGCTACGAGGTTATTGAGGCTGCTCATGCCCAAGACCAAGTGGTTGTGACGGGTGAATGCCCGACAGTCGGCATGGCTGGAGGCTACATTCAGGGCGGTGGCCACTCTGCACTCAGCACTACCTTTGGACTTGCTGCCGACCAGGCTCTTGAGTTTGAAGTTGTCACCGCAGCTGGCGACCTAGTCGTGGCCTCGCGCACCAACAACACCGATCTCTACTGGGCACTGAGTGGTGGCGGTGGCGGTACATATGGTGTTGTACTCTCCGTCACCGTACGTACACATCCTGAAGCAACTGTTGGTGGCGCCAGCCTTGAAATGGCCGCCGCGTACACGAGTCAGGAGAACTTTACCGAGGCCATATCCGCATTCCATACCCTGCTGCCAGCCATGATCGACCAGGGCGCAATGGTCATCTACTACGTTACCGATTCGGTATTCGTCATCGACCCTATCACCGTCTACAACTCCACAGCCGACTACGTCGAGAACACTATTCTGGCACCTTTCACTGCCAAGCTCGCCGAATTGGGCATCCCGTCAACTGTTGGTTACACAGAGCTGTCTTACCGCGACCACTACAATACATACATGGGTCCTCTACCATATGGAAACCTTGGTGTGGAAGAGTATCAATTTGGCAGCCGTATGATTCCCCGCAGTGTTCTGGAAGACGACAATGACAATTTGCAAGCGGTTCTGCAAAACCTGACCGCAAACGGAGTCATGGCTGTTGGCACTTCAGCGTCCTACGTCGGACCCAGTGGTGCGTATAATGCCGCTAACCCAGCGTGGCGCAACACCACGGTTCATATGCAACTTATGTCGGCATGGAACTCTTCGGCAGCTGCGTGGCCCGCGATGATCGCCGCGCAGAAGCAGATGACGGATGAGTTCGTG